AAAAAAAAAAAAAAAAAAAACACAATCAATATTTATAAACAATCCTAACTCCTATTGGCTGTCTATAATTTAACCCCATTTTTCATCACTTACACTCTTTTTGTCTTTTTAATACTCTTTAATCAATTTTATTATTTCTCTTTTTTATTCTACTCTTACCTTATAATAATTTCTTTTTACTTCACTTTTATATTAGTTCTTTTTCTTTATACTTAATTTTCCAACTTGAACTAAATTTTCAGTATTTTTTTTACTTTAATCGAATAAGAAATTGAGTTTTTTTTTTTTGTTTTACTGTGTGTAAGTTGGAAAATTAAGTATAAAGAAAAAGAAATAATATAAAAATGAAGTAGAAAAAAAATTAATGTAAAGTAAGAATAAAATAGAAAAGAGAAAGAACAAAATTGATTAAAAAGCAAAAAGGAGTGTAAGTAAAGAAAAGGAGAATGGAGAAATCAACTTCCTAATTTAATATTGCTTTATTTATGATTATTTTAAACTTTTAATTAATATTAACAATTTTTATTTATTTATAGAAATGGATCAATTAAAAAGTGTTATAGCATTTATAACTCCTTTAACTAAAGTGTATGATTGGAGTTAAAATTTTATAAAAAGCTTTTAAAATAGATTTTATATATATTTTTAGTTAAATTTTAATTAAAAATTTAGAGAACATAATTATGGATGCTCTTTAATTTCATCTTGACCACACAAAAAATAAAAAAAGTTTTAATTTCATTATTTAATTGAAAAGAACAAAACTTAAACCAGGAAGCAAGGGCAGAACGGAGGATGTGAACATAAGACAAAGTGTGGAAGGGTAATTACTGTAAAAGAACAAAAGCACGTTATGATTCTTTTCTTGGTCAATGCGAGATGCATTTCAATGGCTAAAGCAAAACATGCGTGATGCGTAAATTTGTAGTGGAGTCCGCGCGCCGAACGGGACCTGAGTTGGACTAGAATTTTCAATTGTTTCATCTCTACATTCTCACACTTACTTTTCATAAAATATAATAGTAAATATAAAAGATAAAAATAAATAATATAGTAATAATTTGTATATTTACATTGCCGAGTCCCTTGAAGTGACCAACTTTTTCAATGAGGCAAATGGGTAAGCAACGTGCCACCTAAGTTGTTATAAGAATTCTAAAACTGTATATTAAAACTAAATATATAGTTATTTGTAAATAATTTATTTGAGGGACGCCATTTACTCAAAACTAAGGTATTTTAACTATTTACATTTTACAACATGTGAATATAATGGAGAGTTTAAAAATGTGGACTCGACCGAGTACGGATTTGTATTTGTAGTCCATTTCAATAGGAAATGTTCTATAAAAAAGAAAGAGAAGAAAAAGCAGTTACTCCTGTATTGAAGTACAAAAAATAAGACCTTTTGAACAACCTCTTCCTCTAGCAAATCAAATCAATTCAAATGAAATCGGATGCTCGTTTTCAACTTTTCATAAATAAATAAAGAAAAGAAAAGGTCAGATGCCGTTTCTTATTATCACCTGTGCCTTGTGCAAGCCTTGGAGATATAACGGCCACTTATACATTATACATTTTAAAAGCCTCAGTCAGCTCAGCATCCATATTTTTAAAGAGAATTCCATGACATTCTCTATGCTCGGTTTATAAAATATTTTTGTGCAAGCACAGTTTCAAATACAGTAACAATATTTAGGTGGATACCAGTTTAAATCACTTCTTAAATTTTATTATTGAAAAAGAAAATACCAAGTCATGTTTCAGGTCTCGGGATGAGGCATTGAAACGAGGTATCAACCCGTTATTAGCTGGCCATATGCCGAAATGATCACTGTAATTTACTCATAGGCTTTAAAACCAAAACAAAAAACTAAGGGGACATTCAACGAAATATATTCACCATGTCATTTTGTGCAAGTAGGTCCTCTAAGATGCTTGAAACTGCTTCCTTCTCATCTTTGGTTTCTTGGAAGTGTACATCCAACTCCCCTACAAAATTCAACCAAAGCATAAAATAAAATAAAAAACTTTCAGAACATCATCAAATAACTGTCAAACCATGAAAATCGACTATCAACAAGGAAAATAATTTCTTCCTTCGTTTCGAGGGCAGATGTGATGTGAGATAGAATTCAAACGAACAAATGTCAAAAGGACTTGTTCATTAAAGCAATCATTGGCCTAGTTTAGCATGACTAATCTAGTTGGGACAAGTTTAAGTGCTATATAGACTAGCAATCAAAGAAGGAATAGCACTAATATTAAAAATCATAAACCGAAACAAAACACTTAGGCAAGCCCTTTTCACTTATGTTTTAAATTTTTAAGACCATTGCCGTTTGGAAGTTGGAGTATTGCGTTTTTATTAAGTAAAAGTTTGTCTGAGTCTCTATTTTATTTTCCTAAAATTAATGGTGGTTGGTGTTGTGAATTTCTTTTGGTATGATCATCATAGATTTTCTGTAATTTTCTTCATGTTCTTCCTCATTAGTTGTTGTTACTGCTTTCTTTTTAGTTGTTTCCATGTTCTCTGGGAAATCCGTCAAGCATACAACGCAAAATAAATGTTGAATGAAAAATTATTCTCTTCCGACTTTGAAGAGGATGAATGCTTTCTAGAAGCCAGTGGATCTGGCACTAAAACCATTTAATCACGCATGTGTTAGGGAAGCAGACTAGTCATGCCAGAGAGGCAAAAAAAATGAAGAAGCAAGAATTGGTTAATTTCTTCAGACAACAGAAACAACTAAAAGGATACCACTAACACCAAACAAATGAGAAAGAATATAAAGAAAACTTCAACAACTATATCATTATGACATCATAAGAAATTCACAATAACATAACAAAAAGGATTTTCGATGGTTCAATGTAGGAAAATAATAGAGATAGGAAAAAAATTTAACCTACTAAAATCCAAGGGAGAACTACCAGATGTACTTTTCAGAATCCAAAACAAAATAATTTCCACAAGCATTGCCATGTCTTATTGATTACATCTATACAAGGGGCTCAAGTGTGACATTTTTCTTAACTGACTTAGTCTACTTGAATGTAGAACATGATAGACTAATTTAGAACTCATATGCCATTTGAGTTCCTTAAAATCTTAAAGTTAAGTTTTTCATTTTATATTTCAGCAGAATAATAGTAAGTAAACAAACAAGAACAATTAAAAAAATAAAAGATTGAAATAACATAATTTGAACAAAACACACTGACCGAATAGCTTAATAGACATGTTAGGCAAGAACAGATTTTATCTGCTAAAATCCAAGGGACACTTACCAAATGTACCTTTCAAAGGAATAAAATATTGAACGAAATAAATTGAAGAAAACACCTTGATCCAACCTATAGATCAAAAGACATGCTAGGCCAGGATTTGAGACCACAGACTCATAATCTTTACTTTGCTTTCAGCTTTTTTTAGCACACATTCATGCACAGTTAGGAAATCAAAGTGTAGCAAAGCCTTTCGTTTTAAATAAGATGAGATACTAAGAAAACACAATCGACAGAAATGGCTTCAAGCATAAGGGCTCAGCTTAACCATCTACAACAAACTCAGTTGTAAACTTACAAAACTAAACAACCTACATTGATCCTGCATTACCCAACTCCTAGTCGCACTTTTGTTGGATGCACATCTTTATGTGAAGTCTCATGTGATAATTCTTCAGTTCACGCTCTTGAGAAAGAGAAGTTTTATCTCATACTATTTCTTCCTGTTATTGGTGGATTACTTATCCACCTTCTTGTATGGTTTTTTATGAAATAAAACTTCTCTTTTTAAAAAATAAATAAATAAAAAGAAAGAGATATTTGCTTGCAAACAGTAGTAAATGTAATTCATCCACAGAGGGAGGATCAGTGCGCACCTCAACCAAAGGGACAATCAGCATCGGCAAACCGTTTCTTCATGATCATCCAGAGTGCGTGAGAGGAAGAAGCCCCAACTGTATATGGCAATAAATCTTCAGAGATTCTTGAATTAAGCCAAACCTTTACACTTTGATCCCGATCCATCCATTTTTCAAAGGCTGGATTCACTTGATTGGTCATTTTACCATTGGTATCAAACAAAAAAGCAGGTGGACAGATCTCTGTCCCTTCAACCAAACCTTCTACTCTATATTTCCTGAGAACTTGAAGAAATAGCCATTTCCATATGGTGAAATTAGGGCCAGTGAGTTTCATTGGAACCATAATGCTGATGTTCTGAACAGTGATCTCTTGGACAGTGATCAGATGTGAAAGAGGAATTGCTACTACTGGTGTTTGTTGATCTGCCAATTTAAGAAATAGAAGAAGAAAGGGTTTACACAGACTCTTTAATATGCAAGAAAATACAAGGAAGGATGAGAAGGCTCAAGAACGGGAGCCGTGTGGCTCTAGCTCATAACATGAAAATATATGTCGAGGACAATTTTAAATGCATTTCGTAGAAAATACCAGGAACCAACATCTCAGTTTTTGTGTTTACGATTGTGTTCAATTTCAGTGGATTAGCAGATCAAAATGAACAGATAATTTTCAAATGCATCAAGGATGTACTTACCGCAAATGATGGAGACGAAAGGTAGCAGACTCTCAACATATTGAGTCAGGTCATTTCCAGAGTCAAACCCCTGAAGCATATATCGCTCACGTAAAACCACATCCTTTTTAAGCTTGTCTTCGTTTTTATCAAGCCATATCAACTCCACATTCTTGGAATTACGATCCCGCATCACAACTGTACCACTTTCCCTAATGAACATAGGTACATCATTGGCAACCCTAAATAGCACAGTCCATGATTCATACACATTATATTCTCTCATGACCCAGATTTCAAGATATTCAAAATCAGGAAATCCATTAGCCCATGCACACAGGCACCCTTCTAAAAGAACCCCCACTCGTCTGTAACCCAACTCATTTTCTTCACAGAT